CATGTGCATACTTTAGATGAAACCTAACCGTGCAATTTTCCAGCTAAACTAGGCCGCCAGCTAAAATGTGACAATCAAAACAAAACTGCGAACACCGAAAGCTGAAAAGTAAAGCTTGCTGCATCGCAGCGTGGAAGGCACATCTTTATAATATGAAATGCAGGACAAAGGCGTTCGATCTGGTTGTGACGCCATGTGCTGGCACAAAACGGTCTTCAGGCCTTTAAGCAGTTGCCAGTATTTTTGCAGCTACAGAGTAGCTTATACCTAAAATTGGTGAAGCTGACATATTTCTCCAGATACTCCGCTCATTGCTCATCGATTGAGAAAATCGATTACCCATAGTGTGTAGAGCATTCTGCAGCAAAACCAATAGCATGCCGTAATTCGACATGGTTTAAAGTAGATTCACTACCGTATTCATAGAGAGAAAGGAGAGCTGACAAACACCAGTCTTAACCAGAAGGCCTTACAGCGCGACGCCCGCACTGCGAAAATCGATATTATTAAAGGCGCCCCAAAGAATCGTTTCGATAAACTCACTAGATCGGAGTGATTGTGCCAAACCAAAGAGATTCATTCTTAACGAATCCTTGTCTTAAATTGCGCAATGAATCAAACAAATACTTACATATTTTAAACTTACTAACGACTAAGGACCACAGAAGAAAACCTACCTTGAGCCTTCGTAGAAAGATGAAAAACACACATCCACATGTGCCGGCCCATGAAGGAGCAAGCGCAGCTCTCTCTAAAGCCTATTCTATCCCAACAGACTTCAGAATATGCAGGTATGAACTCACTGCAGCCCAAACGTACGTGCAGGCAGGATCGATAAGATGCGACAGGTTGGCAAGCGCGGACATCCCGAGATAAGAGCCTCGCGAAATGATAGACTCCACAAACTTTAAACATTATTTCGCGGCACTTGACGCCAAGCTCCCTCCCAGCGTTGACCTTCTGACACATGCATATGGAGAGCTCGCTAATTCTTACCTCAGCTCGAAAGAGAAGCTGCTTGAGCGTACCTCCTAGCTTCCATTGTCTCCCTTTTGCCGCCCTCTTTTTCGCGTTCTTTTCTTCCGTCTTTCTCACTGAAATGCATGGATCCTTCTGCGTGAACGGAAACATTGTTCTCACTCTCGTCCGTCGCTACTACGATGTAGCCATAGCAACCACGATTGGAAAGTATAGCGACACATGTCGACAAATCCCTTTATTCTCTTATCTCAGAACGTAGTGCAGAATGCACACATCTCGTTACAGTTTTTAGGAAGCTAAAACACAGCGGATCCAAATACGAGTACTTTTGCCTCTTTCCGATTAAAAGTGATTGGTGCTTTTTCTTGCATTGGCGTGGGCTCGCCCAGAGCAGCATTTAGCACTTGTTTGTTTTGCTTCATTTTAGTTCTACTCGTCATACCACCTTGCCTCAGCAATTCTTTTATCCGCAAATTCCGTGTCTAGCACCAGGTAAGTATGAACTCCTTCTTGTAGTGGCCTTGCGACTGAAAACTCTTCTGCTCTTGACCACCGCCTAGTTTGTGGATTATAGTTTCCTCCCTCTTTACATGGCGTGGAACTTGGGCAAGACACACATGGGAAATGCACTATATGTAGCCCTATCACACCTTCATTTAACAGTAACATCTGTTTGGTCCTGAAGGCCTAGACGAGACAGTTCCTCCTGCGTTTCGTGGAGCGGTAATGAAGCAGATTTGCTTCACAAGAACGCCGTTGTGAGTATGAAGCCCATTTTTCATGTGCCTCAAATTATTCAGGGGTCCTCTCTATAGTTTCATCTACTATATTTCACCTTCAGTGGGGTGCCCTCAGACTAATTCTAGTTCCCAGTGTCTTTAACCTTTAGACCTGATGTACCAGCTTGCACGGCACCAACTGACGGTTGCAGTCAGCTTCTCCTAAAGCAAATAGTGCTTGTCTTCGCGGTATAACTTCTAGAAGTACCTTTGGTCATTGCATCACTGAGGTGCCACCAGACAGTTTCTGTCTTGGTCAATGACGAATCTTTGCGTTGTCTCTTGCCCCGTCTACTGCGGTCTTCTTCCCTATTCGCTTCGCCAACTGACGCATGGACTCTAGATGTTGAGAACTTCAAAGGTTACCATCAAGCATCCTCATTCCAAAGCTCAATTGGACCCAAGACTCGCTATACTCAAATGCGAGCTCATCATTTTCTCGCGGCTGAGGCAGCGTTTGTTCGTGGAAGACGTACGTTCGCGCGATATACTGCATAGCTGACTCTGTTGTCGGATTGAGGCTAGTGTAAGCCTGAATGCGCTGTAAAAAGCAAACACTGCTCCTATTCGAGGTGTCGTCAGCCGGTGGTAGCATGCAAGTGAATTCGCTAACTTTAGTGAATCCAGCAGATATTCATGGATTCGACGCAAGGCTGCCAAGAGTGCCTTTGCTTACAGTACCATTGACCAAATACGAATCTTCCTTGGATATTACTGTCAAAGCTTCTGTGAGACTAAATTTTAGGGCATTTTAGGCTTGTAATGCTTGCTAGTGCTGAGGTTCCTTGGTCGGTCTGAGTACTGCCTCTCGAAGAGCAATCTTGAACACGATAAATGAGGCGATTTGCCGAGTATCTTTCCCAATTTTGACCAAATTGAATACATGTGGGCACTAAAAGAGCGTGCCAGTCGAGCTTCTCCAGTGCCAGCATGTTGATTATAGAGGTGCAAAAACCCGGGAAACGCTGAGACTGTAGCGCCGCACTGCTCTTGCTTCGGCCTCGTTGTCGCTACAAGAATGGCGTCAGATCCGCTTAGCCACACCCATAGACTAGGCCACTCTGTCCCTTGTTTTGCATTTCCTCGCATCTTCATCCTAGAGCATTGTGCTGCCGCTTTCCACTGTCCACAAAAATTTCAGCATCTTCCTGGGCATGCCGGCTTACCGCTGTGCTGCATGTGGCTCCTAGTGCGGTGGATGTAACTTCAGAGACTGTGCGACTACCTTACGAATAGCCGAGTGTGATAGGCTTTTCCCAGATATTTTTGTTTGCTTGTTGCAGTGACACAATAGAAGCTATCAACCGCACGTAGGACTGACCATCCTTCGTGTCGCGCCAACGCTCCTCGACATTCCATTATTGAGGCTATTGGAGACGCGAATTAGTGCGCAACAATACAGTATGGCCCCAAATGGCCTTTAGGACTACATGATTCGAAAACCTGCACATCGACACAACAACTGGAGGTAATTAGAATGTATAGAATTTTGGACCTCAGTCTAGCAGTCTCAGTCAGCTCTGCAGCTACTCCCGGCAGTTTGGATCTGCTAAGACACTGAATTAGCAATGCAGAGCACGGCCAGGCAATGACAGACATCCAAGGGGAGACAGATGCAGTCTCACGGTATGTGAACCCAAAATTATGTGAAAGCGGTAACTTCAGTAAAAAATATTACGTACAACCGTATCAAGCCATCATAGAAGAAACACGTAGTAGCCATGTTCAGCTTAGCCAACCAGTGAAGACGTGCTCCCTACAGTGGGCAGGCTGCTACAGCACCAGCCTGATCTCCTACATTAGAAAAGGCAAACAGTAGTACAAATGACAAACTAGGAGCGAAATGCTAGAAGTACATAAGCCCAGCTCCACGTCTGCATCCTAGGTATCCTTCTGAGGAGTCATGGTTCTAGCAGGAACCCAGCTGAGCATCTCACGGATTAAGGATTCTAGTTTGTCTCCCCTCTGTAGGTCTCCAAGAGAAGGCTCGACCAAGGTCTAGCCAGCAAACTGTTTTCTACGCAAGCTAGCCAAGATTCAACTGATTTGGCCGCGCTGCGGAATTCCCTAGTTGGTCAGCTTCTTGAAATAGGAAACTGCCAGGGGCCCCCAGAAGCAAACTGTACACAACCAACACACAAATGTTTAGCCAGCCGGTTTTGATTATGCAGCTCCAGTCGCCCAACTGTAAGGAATACCGCCTCTTGGGTTGGCATCCACTGCTTTCCGACGACATTGCCAGCGTCTTCACATAGTCGTCTCTTTTGCGCGCTGCTCGCGAGTGCTTGTCAGATCTACTCCTAAATATATACTGGCCTAAATTTGTGCGAAGATCACCACGGTAACTCTCAAGTATAGAATTCTTTTACTGAAGAACATAGTGTAGCAATGAAGACGACCGACCACGTGGGCTCACAATATAATTGGTTAACTGGAAAACTTAGGATAGGTCTGAGGTGCATTTAGAAACTCCCAAAGTAGTCCACCTCCGTACTATACTAACGTGGGCAACAGCGTGAGAGTCTCGTTATGTTTTTAAACAACTGTCTGGAGACGTTGGTTCTGGCGCATGACGTACCGGAATATTCTGAAGAGTGCCGGCATACTGCTCATCACGTTCCCACAACACTTTGTTGAATAGCCTCTAAATTCAACCTCAACAGATAGAATCTCTTGCCGTTCAGCAACTGAGCTGTTGCGTGATCCCCTAGTAATTTATAACGATTGTACATGCTGTTAATTTGTTTTCAGCTCGTTCAAACAGTCATCTATCCAAATTTTCGCCCTATTGTGTTTATAGCTGCTTCCTTGGCCTCAGTTCTCGAAGACATTATATAATACAGCCAGTGTCTAATAAAGTATGCGCGCTGCGTGTTCTTGAGAT